TGACATGATCCTTATCCTGCTGTTTGCCCTAGGAAGATGGGGCTCCTAGGGATTAGTAAATTGCCGAGCTGTAAGGTTATAGAGAGTGTCTTAGTATGGGAGAAAACTAGAGGTGCCATTTACCTGGATGCTTTTCATGTCACTGTACAGTTTACTCTCAGCCACTTGTGCCCACCAGAGCTACCAGTTCTTGTACCAGGGTCCAGAAGGCCATGCTTCCACTGGCTGACCCCAGTGCCCTCCTTTTTGCCCACTTCTGGAGCAGCTATTCCATCGTTCCTGCGAGGTGAGTGGAGAAATCAGTGATGTGACAATACCAACAGCGCTGGCCCCTACAGACCCTTGCAGGCTTGGTATCGCCTTGAACCTGGAAGCACATAAAGGATTCCCCAAAGTGTCCTGTTGATGCAGCAAAAATCTCCATGGGATCTTCACAGAAGCTTCAAGTAACCATTTAAAACTAGTCTTTTCAAGGCAATATAGAGAAAGCCCAGTCAGAGCAGAAAATCTCTGATTTCACCTTTTCCCTATAAGCTACAAGCAAGGTGGGGCACTGTTTAAATTGTGTGTTGCTGCACATCAAAGTACCCAAAACTCATTCATTACACCTCAATCTGCTGTAAGCCAGCTGGAGAAGCAGATGTGTTGTGGTCCAGCACTCCAACCAATAGGATGGTGCAGTTGCTCTGACAGAATGCAGTGTTGGTATTGTGATGGGACCTAGGAATGCTGCAGGATGAGATGCCAGCTGAAAATGCAGGAAGTGGTGACGGAGTGTGTGTGTGTGTGTGTGTGTGTGTGTGTGTGTGTGTGTGTGTAGGGGTCGGCTATGCATACTGAACTTCCTCAATTGTCACAGCAAACTGCCCCTCCTGCAGGCTATAGATTATGGGAAGGGGATAACATTTGTTGGACAGATCTATGAGAATGAGTGGGGGAAAAAACCCTAAGTAAACAATCGTGGAAAAATATGTCCAGGGCTAGAGTTTTCAAGGTGGTGTGCTGAGATGATCACTTTGGAATATAAGCAAGAAAAGAGTAGTGAAACAAGGTTCGGGGCTTCTTCAGGAGGGAGTGGAATGTGGCTCTAAGAAAGGCAGAACAGCTGGGCGCGCCTGGAATACTCACCATGGTTTAATGCTTGGAGGGTATTCGTTTTTATTGGAAACCACTCAGTTATCTTCTGTGAGGACCTTTATCTGTATTTCATGCATATCCTCTCACCCCAAAAGTAAAAGCTCAAAGAAAAACTGACAGGAACCAAAGCAAGCTCCACCTTACGGGATTTCCACCACTTGCAGCCAATCTCTGCCACACTGTCAAAGTTATCTTGAGCTGGGATCAAGTGTGAGTTGTTTCTTGTAGGAAAGCCTGGCCTTCCCCACATCCTGAGAGAGGTCGATCCTGCAGGAGGTGAGACTATACCAGTTGGCAGGTGGCCATGATGTGAGTTTTAGGTATATTTGGGGTGTGACAGGTGACATAGGAGGGCTTGGAGCACAGAGAGATGTTTTAGGTATATTTGGGGCGTGACAGGTGACATAGGAGGGCTTGGAGCACAGAGAGATG